GGCCTCCCCGTGGCTCTCGGCCTGTCCGTGCGGCCCGGGGGAGCGGGAGGGTCGCAGCAGAGCCGGCTCCTGCGGGCTCCGAGATGGCAGGAAGGCCGGTTTTCGACCTTGTTCCGAGTTTTGTGTGACAAGCAGGCGTTACTTTTTTTTTTTACCGTCTTAGTGTATCTGCCCTCCTTGTTTTTTGCTGGAGCTTTGTCCCGGTGCGGAGAAGTCTGTGAGGTCCAAACCTCGGCGTCACCTGCCAGTCCGGGGAGCTCTGCAGGCGCTGTGCTCTGCGGCTGCTCCTGGGCTGGACCTAAACCGGCCCGTTTCACAGTTGTTTTTGTCTTGATGAACAAGTAACCGTAGTGTTTCTGCTGTTTAAATGATCATATTAGGTAAAATGCTTATGGTTAGAAAACTTCTAGAAAATGAGTGTTTGTACCTGTTGAATTTTCTAGTTTTATGTGTGTTACTTACAGTGCAGGGGAGTTCTCCTTTGCTCTGAATTTAGCAGTTGCTTGCTTTTTGACATCCTAACTAGAAGGATTTCAGCCAGTCTCTTTTTAAACCCAAAAGTAAAAAATGCTTTTAAGTTACCTCTGCTTATTTGTTAAGTATCAGATAGTGAACATTTCAAATACTGATCAAAGCGGGTATGTTGTCCTATGACAGAAAAAGAGAAGAACCTGCAGATTTCTCAAAAAACCCAAGCCCTGGTAGTTCATGCTATGACCAAGGATTGAGTTTTCTTGTTTGTTTGTTAAATATGATACAATACCAGTATTGATCCACTATCCTGACTTCTAGTTTGAGAGAGAAAGGAAAGGAACCTATTTTTTTGTTATCTTGTAGACAGAATATTTTTTTTAACCTTATTTTTAGGTAGCACATTGCTAGTTCTAGTGTGCAAAGCAACTTCATTACCTGTTTCAAGCTTTCAGAAGCTTGTTTGGCATTTATCTGCACTTCCTGGCTCAGTAGGGAATGCTGGTAGCTAAACTGAAGAGAATGAAAAATATTTGCTTAAGCAGTTAAGTTTTAAAATTCTTGACAAGTCCTGGTTTTGTATTTGCTCAGCAACTGTATAGACAGTTGTGGTGTGTGTTTGTTTGTTTGTTTGTTTATACAAATTGCTTTTCCCAAGCAATAACAAGTAATGGTTAACTAGACAGACAAGTTCCATTGCTTCTCTGTAAGGAAAAGAAACTGATGTGCCAGCCTAATAACTCTACTGCTGCTTAGGAGAACTTGAGTTAGGCCCAGAAATCATTAACAAAAGACAAAAAAAATCAGCAACTAGTGAGAGAAACTTTATTAAGTACATTAAGGCAGCTTTATCTTCATGGCCAAGAAGGAACTGGGGATGAGCTGAGAGATACTCTGCTCAGAAAAGAAGCAGTAGCCTTACTGTAGTGTTGCAGGTTCTTGCCTCTTGTGGTAGATGTTTTCTAGAATTTTTGTTGTTTTTTTTTTATTTGAAGTAAGTTAGTAAATCTTGGTTCAGACCAGTCAGTGGCTTCTGAACTTTTGGTAGGATGAGGCTGCTGTCAATTTACAACATGTCTTGTGAGCCACCATAAAACTATGTATGTCTAATCTTTAGACTGAAGACACTGTAAAAATGCGACCAGTTCTGCAAGCCATACTCAATAGCTTTGACACCACAGTTTAGGAGCTGTTAATCTTTATAATTACCAGACTTATGAGGGACTGTTTCAAGAGCTTTTAAGATTCAAAACCTTTTCTATTCAGTTCACAGGATCTAAACTATGCTTGCAGCAAGCAGTTGTTAGTGGCTTAATCTTTCATGAGGCAAATCTTGATTTCTGTTTTGGGTGTCCACAGCATGGTTGCTGTAATTGCATCTCTGCTGCCAGTGTCTGGAGAGAGTGATACAAGTCTGAGCAGCAATGGTGGCATTCTGTCCCTGCTAGAATTAGAATTAGTCCCACTAGACATTTAACACTGACTCCTTGAGCAGCTAAGCTGGCAGAAGTCAGCAGTGCTGCCCTGCATTCTGTGCTAGCACAAGTGTCAGCCAAACTGCAAATTGGTCTGAAGAACTGAGCCAAGTTAAAAGTAACCTGTGGGGGGGAGAGGCAAAAATTAATTTAAATCCAAGTTACTTTCCGGATAGTATTTATAGGAATACTCCTGCTAGCACATGAAAAAGGCTAGGTGCTCTGATTTGAGATGTTCTGCATGCTGTGATCTAACAGCGGATCTGATGCCCCTTGAGTGATTATAGAATCTGTTTCAAAGCAAAAGGAAGCAATCGATGTAACAGTGAAGCTTACTAGCTTTGTTTACCCAGCAGGGGGGCTTGTATGCATAGCTGAGAAGTTTTTAAACAGTGAACAGCTGGCCGTGGGTACTGTAATTTGTGTGATACTCTGCATGCCTAGTCTTGCCTTTTTTTAAATATTACTGCTTTCTTTTGTGGATGAGACACAGGCCCTTATTACATCTATAAAAATTCATGCATTGAACCATGAAAGAGGAAATAAAGCAGTTAAAAAGGAATGAACTCCTGGCACCTGCAGGTTGAGGTTGAATGGATGAGGATTATTTAAACATTTTCTCCAGTTCTTAAGCTTGAGTTTTATTAAGAGATGTAACTCTTAATAATAATTAAAACAAAAAATAAGTACTGATCTGAGTCTTAAGATTTTTATTTTTTTACTTAAGCAATTGATGCCACTACTAAATATGGGGAAAAAAGCAAATTTCTTTTGCTACTTAGGATGTTTTTAAGTAGAGTGAAGTAAGCTGCCTTCAGGTAATTTTGGTTTTAGCTGTTTATTGAGCAGTTTCTTCCTGTTGGGAAAACCTGAAACCTGATGCTGAAATGTCAGTTTAGAGTGAGATTTTCTCCTTGCATACAACTGCTTGGTCATCTGATGCTTTCCCTTTATATGCAATATCTTGTCCTCCTAATAACACATCATCTTACAACCATAATGTGCATGGGGAATTCTTCTGTATGTGGTTTAAGTGATGAATTATCAGCTGTGCTGATGATAATCTGCTGAGCTTTGGCAGTGCTTCTGGCTTTGTAATACTGTGTTTTGAAATTAATAGACAAACTGTTCGGTACGTGTGTTCTAAATTACGCCATTTATTGCTAAATGGTGTAAATAAAGACTTGAATAGATGACTAGCTGGGTTTTATTTATAATGTTCAGTGGGATAACACACTTGAAAGAAATAATGAGTTTTTTTAAAGGTAAATAATCGGAAATGTTTTAAAATGAAGTTACAAATGTATCATGTGACACAGCCTTCACTTCAGAGCTAAGTCCATGTGGAGGAAGCTTTTGTTTCTATGGGTGCTCTGAATATGTTTAGATACCGCCTTATCAAAGATAGTAGTGAAAAGTAAAATACAACAATTTCTTGCTGAAGAATCCAGTTCTGTTGGCTGTAATTATGAAACCAACTTGTGGCTTCTTACCAGTTGAAAGATACTCTGTCTCTTCCCTTTCCACCTCACAGCTACAAAGTCTATACCCATACACCCTCCCCGTGCAGACCATGTTTTTGAAAGGAAGAAACAGTGATAGAAAGATCCTTTATTCTACTGTTCTCCTGGAATTTTTAATCACTTTTTGCTGCATGAATAAAGATATATTTGTTTCCTCAGATATCATTATGAGAGTTTCCAACCTTACTACTACTGATAGGAATGAGTTCTGAATTGGTTATTGGACACTTTTGGTCTGGATGATTTCAGAAAAATAATTGCAAGAAAAGCCATAGTAGCATTATATCCACAGAGTGAAGAAAACAGACTTACATTTCTGTTGCATTTAGTAGATGATTGTGTAGTTATTTCAGGTTAAAGAATGTTATGTTTGTGTATTTATTTCCTTTGAGGCTTTAAGGTGAGACAGGCTTTGGAGTTGGGGAGTGGGGAGTATGGGGAAGCCCTGTCCTGCTGGGAGCTGGGGTCTGGCAGCTCCTAGGGGTGGGCAGTGGAATCCCTGGTCTCCTTCATTTCCCAGTTCTGCTAGGAGCTGTGAAACTGATGGAAAAGTCTATTACTGAGAGGAGTTAAAAGTATTTAGGGAGCAGGTTTTGTTTTGAAACTGGGACAGCCATTACTTCGCTATGAAATTGTACAGTGACAGCATGAAGGGGTGAATGTGTGTGAGGATGGAATTACATTTGATGCACATGGAGCCAAGCTGAAATTGTTTTGAGGGAGGTATTTTTTTTCAAATTGTTAAACAACAATTTCCTCTCTAGACTTAAAAAGTGTCTCTTTCAACCAAGCTGTTTTGAAGCCAGGGTTGAACGTGATGCTGTCTTGTTGCTGTGAAGTGATCTGACTTTGGTATGGGAGTTCATTGTGATTTTGTAGTTAATTTTTGTTTTGTTAGTTTTGTGTGCAGTTAAGTGTGCTCCTTACTTTGACCTTCCAGCACTGTTTTGAACCATTTGCACTCTAGACTTCACAGAGTGTATGTATTCTGAGTTCGTCACTGTGCGTTCTTTAGTGGTGAAAATTCTGTCCTGTTACACTGGAAGAGCATGTAGTACTGTTTGGGTTTTTTTTAATTTGCATTTCAGATATGTTCTTCTGACTATCCTAAATAAGGTTGACAATTCCTGTGATAATCAGAATAAATAAGTTTGAGATGTGAGGGAATGTGTTCTTATGGCTTCCCAAATCTTGCTTCTTGTATATTGTACAACTTGCTTATCTCTTATTTAGGGCAGCTTTGGTAATTTAAGTAAAGAGGCTGCAAGAACATGTATCCTTCACATGTATATGTCAACATGGTTGATACTTGACTAGTTTGGAAATAGTCTGATAGTAATATTGGTGCTTGCTTTTTGCACTGTCACCTGAAAATAAAAGAGAATCTTTGTTTCATAATTTTACAGGACAGGGAAAG